ATGCAATATGGCAAAATAAAAGCAATGCATAAATATAAAAGAGAAGAGTACGAAAAACTCTCTGTTTTGTTTTCGGTAGTCCGCGCATCCGGCCGCTCTCCCCAAAAGCTGTACCTACAAACTAAAAACACTAAAAATATATTAGTATAAAAGTAAGAAACAAAATTAGTGCATGCATGCAAGTCCCGGGACTAAAAATAATCCTAACTCTATATGCAATATGGCAAAATAAAAGCAATGCATAAATATAAAAGAGAAGAGTACGAAAAACTCCCTGTTTTGTTTTCGGTAGTCCGCGCATCCGGCCGCTCTCCCCAAAAGCTGTACCTACAAACTAAAAACACTAAAAATATATTAGTATAAAAGTAAGAAACAAAATTAATCCAGGCATGCAAGTCCCGGGACTAAAAATAATCCTAACTCTATATGCAATATGGCAAAATAAAAGCAATGCATAAATATAAAAGAGAAGAGTACGAAAAACTCCCTGTTTTGTTTTCGGTAGTCCGCGCATCCGGCCGCTCTCCCCAAAAACTGTACCTACAAACTAAAAACACTAAAAATATATTAGTATAAAAGTAAGAAACAAAATTAATGCATGCATGCAAGTCCCGGGACTAAAAATAATCCTAACTCTATATGCAATATGGCAAAATAAAAGCAATGCATAAATATAAAAGAGAAGAGTACGAAAAACTCCCTGTTTTGTTTTCGGTAGTCCGCGCATCCGGCCGCTCTCCCCAAAAGCTGTACCTACAAACTAAAAACACAAAAAATATATTAGTATAAAAGTAAGAAACAAAATTAATGCATGCATGCAAGTCCCGGGACTAAAAATAATCCTAACTCTATATGCAATATGGCAAAATAAAAGCAATGCATAAATATAAAAGAGAAGAGTACGAAAAACTCCCTGTTTTGTTTTCGGTAGTCCGCGCATCCGGCCGCTCTCCCCAAAAGCTGTACCTACAAACTAAAAACACTAAAAATATATTAGTATAAAAGTAAGAAACAAAATTAGTGCATGCATGCAAGTCCCGGGACTAAAAATAATCCTAACTCTATATGCAATATGGAAAAATAAAAGCAATGCATAAATATAAAAGAGAAGAGTACGAAAAACTCCCTGTTTTGTTTTCGGTAGTCCGCGCATCCGGCCGCTCTCCCCAAAAGCTGTACCTACAAACTAAAAACACTAAAAATATATTAGTATAAAAGTAAGAAACAAAATTAGTGCATGCATGCAAGTCCCGGGACTAAAAATAATCCTAACTCTATATGCAATATGGCAAAATAAAAGCAATGCATAAATATAAAAGAGAAGAGTACGAAAAACTCCCTGTTTTGTTTTCGGTAGTCCGCGCATCCGGCCGCTCTCCCCAAAAGCTGTACCTACAAACTAAAAACACTAAAAATATATTAGTATAAAAGTAAGAAACAAAATTAATGCATGCATGCAAGTCCCGGGACTAAAAATAATCCTAACTCTATATGCAATATGGCAAAATAAAAGCAATGCATAAATATAAAAGAGAAGAGTACGAAAAACTCCCTGTTTTGTTTTCGGTAGTCCGCGCATCCGGCCGCTCTCCCCAAAAGCTGTACCTACAAACCGAAAACACTAAAAATTATGTTAGTATAAAATTAAGAAACAAAATTAATGCATGCATGCAAGTCCCGGGACTAAAAATAATCCTAACTCTATATGCGATATGATAAAATAAATGCAATACATAAATATAAAAGAGAAAGACGAGTACGAAAAATTCCCTGTTTTGTTTTCGATAGTCCGCGCATCCGGCCGCTCTCCCCAAAAGCTGTACCTACAAACTAAAAACACTAAAAATATATTAGTATAAAAGTAAGAAACAAAATTAATGCATGCATGCAAGTCCCGGGACTAAAAATAATCCAAACTCTATATGCAATATGGCAAAATAAAAGCAATGCATAAATATAAAAGAGAAGAGTACGAAAAACTCCCTGTTTTGTTTTCGGTAGTCCGCGCATCCGGCCGCTCTCCCCAAAAGCTGTACCTACAAACTAAAAACACTAAAAATATATTAGTATAAAAGTAAGAAACAAAATTAGTGCATGCATGCAAGTCCCGGGACTAAAAATAATCCTAACTCTATATGCAATATGGCAAAATAAAAGCAATGCATAAATATAAAAGAGAAGAGTACGAAAAACTCCCTGTTTTGTTTTCGGTAGTCCGCGCATCCGGCCGCTCTCCCCAAAAGCTGTACCTACAAACTAAAAACACTAAAAATATATTAGTATAAAAGTAAGAAACAAAATTAATGCATGCATGCAAGTCCCGGGACTAAAAATATTCCTAACTCTATATGCAATATGGCAAAATAAAAGCAATGCATAAATATAAAAGAGAAGAGTACGAAAAACTCCCTGTTTTGTTTTCGGTAGTCCGCGCATCCGGCCGCTCTCCCCAAAAGCTGTACCTACAAACTAAAAACACTAAAAATATATTAGTATAAAAGTAAGAAACAAAATTAATGCATGCATGCAAGTCCCGGGACTAAAAATAATCCTAACTCTATATGCAATATGGCAAAATAAAAGCAATGCATAAATATAAAAGAGAAGAGTACGAAAAACTCCCTGTTTTGTTTTCGGTAGTCCGCGCATCCGGCCGCTCTCCCCAAAAGCTGTACCTACAAACTAAAAACACTAAAAATATATCAGTATAAAAGTAAGAAACAAAATTAATGCATGCATGCAAGTCCCGGGACTAAAAATAATCCTAACTCTATATGCAATATGGCAAAATAAAAGCAATGCATAAATATAAAAGAGAAGAGTACGAAAAACTCCCTGTTTTGTTTTCGGTAGTCCGCGCATCCGGCCGCTCTCCCCAAAAGCTGTACCTACAAACTAAAAATACTAAAAATATATTAGTATAAAAGTAAGAAACAAAATTAATGCATGCATGCAAGTCCCGGGACTAAAAATAATCCTAACTCTATATGCAATATGGCAAAATAAAAGCAATGCATAAATATAAAAGAGAAGAGTACGAAAAACTCCCTGTTTTGTTTTCGGTAGTCCGCGCATCCGGCCGCTCTCCCCAAAAGCTGTACCTACAAACTAAAAACACTAAAAATATATCAGTATAAAAGTAAGAAACAAAATTAATGCATGCATGCAAGTCCCGGGACTAAAAATAATCCTAACTCTATATGCAATATGGCAAAATAAAAGCAATGCATAAATATAAAAGAGAAGAGTACGAAAAACTCCCTGTTTTGTTTTCGGTAGTCCGCGCATCCGGCCGCTCTCCCCAAAAGTTGTACCTACAAACTAAAAACACTAAAAATATATTAGTATAAAAGTAAGAAACAAAATTAATGCATGCATGCAAGTCCCGGGACTAAAAATAATCCTAACTCTATATGCAATATGGCAAAATAAAAGCAATGCATAAATATAAAAGAGAAGAGTACGAAAAACTCCCTGTTTTGTTTTCGGTAGTCCGCGCATCCGGCCGCTCTCCCCAAAAGCTGTACCTACAAACTAAAAACACTAAAAATATATTAGTATAAAAGTAAGAAACAAAATTAATGCATGCATGCAAGTCCCGGGACTAAAAATAATCCTAACTCTATATGCAATATGGCAAAATAAAAGCAATGCATAAATATAAAAGAGAAGAGTACGAAAAACTCCCTGTTTTGTTTTCGGTAGTCCGCGCATCCGGCCGCTCTCCCCAAAAGCTGTACCTATAAACTAAAAACACTAAAAATATATTAGTATAAAATTAAGAAACAAAATTAATGCATGCATGCAAGTCCCGGGACGTAAAAATAATTCTAACTCTATATGCAATATGATAAAATAAGTGCAATGCATAAATGCAAAAGAAAAAAGTACGAAAAACTCCCTGTTTTGTTTCCGGTAGTCCGCTCCATCTCGTATGCATCTAAAATGATTTAAAATAGATATTAGTATGTATATATGGATAGGAAAAGACAATAATATTAAAATCACTTATGTTTGAATCGATAGAATAGAAAGATTCATTCCCTCTGATTATCTCCTTTATTTTTCATATTAAAAAATACTTATTCAGATTATTTAACAAAACCCCAAAACAATGGAGATCTAATTTGCAAATTATCGAAAATTTACCAAAAACATCACATTACCAGAAGACGTCATTTAAAAAAAAACACGAGAACATATATATTCGATCGCATTCACAACAACAATCAAACAAAGATATTCATAGGCTACTATCCAGATTACACAAATGGTTTATGAAACAAGTAGAAACAAAATAGAATAGCGCCCTCCTCTTTTCTTCTCTCTATCTCATACGCAACAAACACTCTCTGAGTCGTCTTATTATCACAAAATTCAGATCCAATCATCATCATGAATGAGACGCTCCAAGATTAATGCTGATGATGATCATTACGATTACAAAACAAAAATCAAAAATCAAGAATCAAAAATCAAAATCAAATTAATTACCAAATTAGGCCCTGCCTCGGGCTTATAACCACGGCTTCCGAATGCGCTGCTTCTTGGCCTCGCAGTTCCTGGATTTAATCCGCCACGCCGCCGATTATGGATGCCTGCTCGCCGCCCTAATATACATCCATCATTTTGTTAGTTAATCTCCGTCCGATAATCCCCAAAATCCCCCAATTAAACCTCGTAAACCCTAAATTAGTTAATTAATTAAATACTTACTCGCTTGACGGCATGAGAGAAAGAAAGACGGCGAGATGGTCGTTCATTTGCTTCCAGCGGTTTCTCTCCACCGCGCACTTGCTCCCAAGCACCGACCACCACCACGCAAGAAAATTAAACCAAATGAATCGGATAAAGAAAAATATTAAACCAAGTATTTAAAGCAACTGTGATATTACCGTTGGTCAATATAAGGTAATATTACCAAATTTATTATATTTTAAAATTATTAAATATATATATATATATATATCTATTTTCAGTTATATTTTATTTTATTTTTATTTTATAATTTACTACTACTATACTTCAGCGGCCGACAGTCCCTCGGTCGTCCAGTACGCCGCCGCGCCTTTCTCCACCACCTCCTTGTTCGCATCCATCTCCGCCGGAGATACTTCTCCCCACTCCGCCCCCACAGCCGCCGCCGACGCCTTCTCAACCCTAAACGCACTGAATTTCTCCAGCGCAGAATCCAATTTCTCCACCAATCCTTCCTGCCCCTTCGCGGCGACCGTCAATCCGTCTGTTAATTTCGCCGGAACCCTACGAGTGAAGAAGTAGTGCGAAACGTCGAGCTTCACGGCGGCCTCGTCCTTCGCCATTGGCCACTGGATTTCATCCCCGATCCGAACCAGAGCCGCTACGATGGTATCCCCTGCTTCAATTAATTTATATCCAGCCGGAGAATCTCTCACAATCACTTCCTCCGACGACTCACTTCTGGCCATTTCCTCCACTGCCTTTCGTCGCCTCCGTTTCTTCTTCGGCGTCTGGGAACAGATTCTCCGCCAATTCATTCATTTCGATCGTCGGATAGAGCGACGAAGATTGGGAGGGGCTTTTTCTAGGGTTTGACAGAAATGACGAATTCGAATCAGGATTGGTCTGGACGACTCCTGGATACAGAGAATTGGGGGTTTTGGGAAGCCACGGTCGATTGAATTGATTGAGGTCTGACTTTTTCCCCTAATTGCAGGATTGTTCGATCGGATGGTGCAATTGATTTTTATTGGGAGAAACTTAGGGAAGAAGGAAATGGTGGGGAGGCATGCGGGTGGATAATGAGCTAATTTCTCAGTTCTTCATCTGTGTGAATTATTTTGGAGCATTGAAAAGGCCTGCTTATATAGATCGAGCAAAATTTTAATTCATGAAATTTTTAGCTCTGTTGGCATTCTTCTCTTGTTTTTCCAAGCTGGACAAAGGCCAATTCTTGGTATTTGAGCAAGTATTTTGCAGCCAGCAAGCCTTTTTTGGGAAATTGGGTGTTTGCATTTTATGATTTGAGCACAGGTACACAACCAAGGGAAGAGAGAGTTTGGCAGAGATTTGTTGAAGGAGGATTACAGGAAGCATATGAAGATGCTAGCAGTATATGGCTTGATCATTCTGATTTGTTTGTATGTGTTTAAATCTATATATCATCCAATTTTAACTTCATGTTTGATTGTATGAGCTTGTTAAAACATTTTCCCAGATTGTCTTACCTATCCATTGAGTTTCTATTTTTTATGCTACACTTATTCACATGCAGACATAATATTTTGGCCTTGCAGGCTTTTGTACTCAAGTATCTTCTCTTTGTCCCGAAAGAGTTGGAGAATACCGGAAAAGTTCCCATACCTAAGAATGAATCTGTTTCTTCAGATACTTTCCCCCTTTTTTCTGAAGGGAAAAGATCTAGGTGATGATTCTTTCAATAGCGTTTTCCTTAAATGCTATTCTGCTTTCTAATTCAGTATTGGTTGCGGAGTAGAACTTATAATATATGTGTACATAGCTCTTGGGTCATGAATGGCTGGTTGATCAATTTGCAAAATTTCTGCTCAAATATGCTTAAAGTTTCCCTCTGGTGTTGCTTTGTAAATTGTATTATTGCATGTTTGAATGAAGGCTGCTGTCTGCAGAACCTAGTGAAATTGGTCTACCAGGTGATAAAAAAGGATTGTTAAATACAGAATCCCACTTTTCATCATAAATTGTACTTTATGTGAGATTTAAGCCCATATATCTTCTTAACTACTAGGCAAGATTGTTTTATTCGTACATGGAAAATTATTGTTCTTCACAGGTCACTCATACATGTTCAGTTAACACAATCATTTGAGCTCTGAAGTTATTTCATTGTTGCTCAAAGTTTCTGCTTTCAAACAGGGCCCTGGTGAGGAGCATGAGTGAGATACTCCGCAAGAAAAGAGCGGGTATAGCATATCTCAATATTCATGACAGCGATAATTACAAGTCTATGGATGCCTCTGAAGATGAGGTGAGCTAGTGATAACATCACTCACATGCTTGAGTTTTTCTCTTCAAGTTGGAGTAATTCATTGCAATGATTTTAGCAATTTTCAGTTTTGAGAACTATATGTTTCTTCCATCATCTTATCCTTGGAATTCGTGTTATATCTGTGATGGTTAGAGACATGCATGTGGCATACTACAGTGATCATTACCCTGCGCTGCCTCTTTAGTAACTCAACTAATCTGCAGGTCATTGCTAAAGCACTAAATGGTCTTTCTGTCGATACTGGGTCAGGATTGTAGACGATTCTGAGAGTTGAGACCTGCACCTCACAGTCAACTACACTTGAGAAGCTTGAAGCTTTACTTCCTTTTTTCAGAAGCCGCATGGGTGTATTGCTTTTCTTAATATCCGCCTTGTTGTCAAGAGGACTGGTACTCAACTACTTACATATCCTGCATGAACATTCGATCTGTTGTTAGTTGCTGATGTTGGCTTGCCCTTCCTGATCTATCAATACTGCCTGTTGCATTATCAGGACTATGTACAACAAGTAAGTGGATAGAGATGATCCAAGCCAACCATTAGTAACTGCTCCATTTGGCCACGCATCACAGGTGTCCCTGGATTATTTATTACAATTCTGTTTACGAACAGTGATTATGGTTTGGTTGATCACTAACATTGTAAACACCCACCCTTGCTTTGTGAAATAGGAAATTGTCAACCTATTACTCTCTGGGAGTGCCGTTGCAAATGTGTTTGACGGGAAAATGGACTTGGGTGGTGGCATGTTTGTAAAGGGCATCTCAACAGCTGTACAAGTCAGAGGCCCTCAATCTGTGTAAGGTTGGCGAGTTACTCAAATGCCCATGATGGCCAATATGGGTGGTTGGAAGCGAGTCACATTACACTGTTTTATTCGCGATGTCCAAGAGGATAGTGAACTTGAAAACAGAGAATTGCAGATCAGGCGAGCATTTGATGCCCGAGATCAAAGTGGCGGTGGCGGTGGCGGTTTCGTCAGTGTTGAAGGCTTCAATCAAGTTGTGAAGGAAATGAACATTAAACTTCCACAGGAGAAGGTTAATTTCCTTAGCAGCACGGGTGTTATAGTGTGGAGTGAATTCTTGCAGGCCCTTGTGGATTTAGACACGAGCTTAGGAGGCATTAAGCATATGGCTGGAGTAAATGGGAGAAAGGTCTTCGATCTCTACCATTTCAACGGGATTGCAAAGCCATCTGGAAACGAGAATCCGATGCAAAGGCCTAGTTAACAAAGCTGACTGTTTCGGCCCCACCAAGGTGGACACCGGAGGAATTCATGGCCGATAAAGCAGAGAACTTGGGAGCACCTACTCCAAGTCAATATGGGCCTCTGGTAGATTGCGTTAGAACACGCTGGCCTCGCTCGGTTTGCAACTGGGAAGGCGAAGTCTAAACCTGTGCTGCTGCTGCTCTCATTCTGCAGGTGTTGGGTTTTGAGGGAAGACATGAGCCTTCTTCTTCTTCTTCTTCTTCTTCTTCTTCTTCTTCTTCTCGGGATAGCAAGAAAGAAAGAGGTGAATTTGTACTGATCATGTGGATATTATACTAGTGTTTCTTCATATGTGAATGCCATGACATTGCCAAAGATTATATACCACTTTTCGTCAGACAATATGGATGTTGCTATTCTTTCTGTTCTATTATTTTGTTTATACATTAGTATTATTTAGTTAATTAATTATTTTGTAAATTCGAAACTGTCCCATCCTTCCTTCCTGCAAGAATCTTCCTTAGAAGAGACCGGAAGCATCCGGAGTAGAGATCCTTGGATTAAAATCTTAAATAAATAGTAACTTATTAATATAAAATTTGAAATAATGAACTTGTTCACTTTGGGTTTATTTATGTCATAGTTTTTCATGTAATTAGATTTGTTTGAATTTTAATGATTATATTAAATATAATGATTAAATTTTGATAGAATGAAAGATAACCGATATAATTATAGTTAAAAACTAAAAGAAATTACTAATTTATATAGTAGTATACTATTATAATTAAAATAAATATAAATAAAAATATATATAATTATGTCTATTTGTGTAATTTTATTTTTTTTTTCTCCCTGCAAAATTAAATTAAATATCTAGTTTTTATTTATTATATTACAGTAAAATTTAATTATACATTTAAAACATCAATACATATTTATATCACATCAACTAATTATTTCAATTCAAAATTTTATTATTCAAATAAAAAACCCACAAAATTATTTTTCTTTTATAATTATGTTTACTTGTGAAATTTTAGTTTTGCTTTTCCTATTTCAATTTTTTTTTTTTCACTTTACAAATCAAATTAAACGCATATTTTTATTTGTTATATTACACTGAAATAAAATTTTAGTGTCAAAACATCGTATAATTATATATTTATATTATATCAAATAATTATGTCAATTCAAAATTTTATTATTTAAAATCAAAACACAAAATCAAAATCTTACCAAAAAAAAAAAAAAAAAAATCTCGCAAATCCGTTTCCCCCAACTCCCCCACATCCACTCCTTTTTATTATTATTATTATTATTTGAAGTGGTGGGCCCCACACAAAAAAAATTGAAAATAAATAAAAATAACACGTGTAACACAGTTTCGCTGGTAAATATTATATATATACGGTTATCTATATATATATATATATGAGATCAGTACGGGGTCCATTCCATTAAATCATTTTTGTCAATTTTTTTTATTTTTTTTGATTTTTAAATAAAATAAAAATGTATTAAATGTCATTAAGTATATCATAATTAATAAAATTATAATTAATATATTTTTAAATATAATAAAATAATTGATTTAATATTATAATTAAAGTAAATTATAATTTTGTCTATTTATACCCCTTATATATATATATAAGAGATCGGTGTGGGGTCTACCCCATCAAATTTTTCTGTCAAATTTTTTGATTTTTTGATATTTTAATAAAATAAATATGTATTAAATATCATTAAGTATATCATAATTAATACATTATTAAATATAATAAAATAATTTATTTAATTTAAGGATTAAAGTAAATTATAATTTTGTCTATTTATACCCTAATTAAGGCTATTGAAAATGTAATGATTTTGGAATGTAATTTTATTTATTTTTATAATTAAAATAATTATATTAATAATCAATAAAATTAAAACCATCATTAATTATATTTTATAATTTTATAGTTTTTTTTATTTTTTAATTCTTAAAAAAATTTAAAATTAATTTAATATTTTCTTAATTTTTATTTATACCCATAAATAATGGATAATGAAATTTTTCATTATAATTGATATTAAATAATTATATTAATTGACATAATTATGATTGATATAATTTATAAAGTTATAATTAATCATGATAATTTAAAAATATATTTTAATTATATGGATCTCATATTAATTTATTGTTTATTTCTATTTTTATTTTTTAATATTAAATACTAATAATATATATACCATAATAAAATACAGAAGAAATTTATAATTAATAGAATAAATATATATAATTTGAGAATATAATATATATGTAAATACATAGAATACTTCTTTCATTTTAAAATTAAATAATTGATTTGATTTCATACTATTTTAAGTATTCATTTATTTTAAATTTTTTTTACCTATTTATTTACATGCGTCTAAAACGATTTAAAAATGATATTAGTATGTATATGCATAGGAAAAGACAATAACATTAAAATCACTTACCTTAGATTTAAAATCGAGATCGACGGATCTTTGCGCTTCCTCTAATCTCCCAAAAAAACTGTAACTACAAACCAAAAAAACTTAAAAATATGTTAGTATAAAATTAAGAAAATAAATTAATGCATGCATGCAAGTCCCATGACGTAAAAATAATCCTAACTCTATATGCAATATAATATAATAAATGCAATGCATAAATGTAAAATAGAAGAGTACGAAAAACTCCCTGTTTTGTTTTCGATAGTCCGCTCATCCGGCCGCTCTCCCCAAAAGCTGTACCTACAAACCAAAAACACTAAAAAATATGTTAGTATAAAATTAAGAAACAAAATTAATACATGCATGCAAGTCCCGGGACTAAAAATAATCCTAACTCTATATGCAATATGATAAAGTAAATGCAATGCATAACTATAAAAGAGAAGAGCACGAAAAACTTCCAGTTTTATTTTCGGTAGCCCGCTCATCCGGCCGCTCTCCCCAAAAGCTGTACCTACAAACCAAAATCACTAAAAAATATGTTAGTATAAAATTAAGAAACAAAATTAATACATGCATGCAAGTCCCGGGACTAAAAATAATCCTAACTCTATATGCAATATGGCAAAATAAAAGCAATGCATAAATATAAAAGAGAAGAGTTCGAAAAACTCCCTGTTTTGTTTTCGGTAGTCCGCGCATCCGGCCGCTCTCCCCAAAAGCTGTACCTACAAACTAAAAACACTAAAAATATATTAGTATAAAAGTAAGAAACAAAATTAATGCATGCATGCAAGTCCCGGGACTAAAAATAATCCTAACTCTATATGCAATATGGCAAAATAAAAGCAATGCATAAATATAAAAGAGAAGAGTACGAAAAACTCCCTGTTTTGTTTTCGGTAGTCCGCGCATCCGGCCGCTCTCCCCAAAAGCTGTACCTACAAACTAAAAACACTAAAAATATATTAGTATAAAAGTAAGAAACAAAATTAATGCATGCATGCAAGTCCCGGGACTAAAAATAATCCTAACTCTATATGCAATATGGCAAAATAAAAGCAATGCATAAATATAAAAGAGAAGAGTACGAAAAACTCCCTGTTTTGTTTTCGGTAGTCCGCGCATCCGGCCGCTCTCCCCAAAAGCTGTACCTACAAACTAAAAACACTAAAAATATATCAGTATAAAAGTAAGAAACAAAATTAATGCATGCATGCAAGTCCCGGGACTAAAAATAATCCTAACTCTATATGCAATATGGCAAAATAAAAGCAATGCATAAATATAAAAGAGAAGAGTACGAAAAACTCCCTGTTTTGTTTTCGGTAGTCCGCGCATCCGGCCGCTCTCCCCAAAAGCTGTACCTACAAACTAAAAACACTAAAAATATATTAGTATAAAAGTAAGAAACAAAATTAATGCATGTATGCAAGTCCCGGGACTAAAAATAATCCTAACTCTATATGCAATATGGCAAAATAAAAGCAATGCATAAATATAAAAGAGAAGAGTACGAAAAACTCCCTGTTTTGTTTTCGGTAGTCCGCGCATCCGGCCGCTCTCCCCAAAAGTTGTACCTACAAACTAAAAACACTAAAAATATATTAGTATAAAAGTAAGAAACAAAATTAATGCATGAATGCAAGTCCCGGGACTAAAAATATTCCTAACTCTATATGCAATATGGCAAAATAAAAGCAATGCATAAATATAAAAGAGAAGAGTACGAAAAACTCCCTGTTTTGTTTTCGGTAGTCCGCGCATCCGGCCGCTCTCCCCAAAAGCTGTACCTATAAACTAAAAACACTAAAAATATATTAGTATAAAATTAAGAAACAAAATTAATGCATGCATGCAAGTCCCGGGACGTAAAAATAATTCTAACTCTATATGCAATATGATAAAATAAGTGCAATGCATAAATGCAAAAGAAAAAAGTACGAAAAACTCCCTGTTTTGTTTCCGGTAGTCCGCTCCATCTCGTATGCATCTAAAATGATTTAAAATAGATATTAGTATGTATATATGGATAGGAAAAGACAATAATATTAAAATCACTTATGTTTGAATCGATAGAATAGAAAGATTCATTCCCTCTGATTATCTCCTTTATTTTTCATATTAAAAAATACTTATTCAGATTATTTAACAAAACCCCAAAACAATGGAGATCTAATTTGCAAATTATCGAAAATTTACCAAAAACATCACATTACCAGAAGACGTCATTTAAAAAAAAACACGAGAACATATATATTCGATCGCATTCACAACAACAATCAAACAAAGATATTCATAGGCTACTATCCAGATTACACAAATGGTTTATGAAACAAGTAGAAACAAAATAGAATAGCGCCCTCCTCTTTTCTTCTCTCTATCTCATACGCAACAAACACTCTCTGAGTCGTCTTATTATCACAAAATTCAGATCCAATCATCATCATGAATGAGACGCTCCAAGATTAATGCTGATGATGATCATTACGATTACAAAACAAAAATCAAAAATCAAGAATCAAAAATCAAAATCAAATTAATTACCAAATTAGGCCCTGCCTCGGGCTTATAACCACGGCTTCCGAATGCGCTGCTTCTTGGCCTCGCAGTTCCTGGATTTAATCCGCCACGCCGCCGATTATGGATGCCTGCTCGCCGCCCTAATATACATCCATCATTTTGTTAGTTAATCTCCGTCCGATAATCCCCAAAATCCCCCAATTAAACCTCGTAAACCCTAAATTAGTTAATTAATTAAATACTTACTCGCTTGACGGCATGAGAGAAAGAAAGACGGCGAGATGGTCGTTCATTTGCTTCCAGCGGTTTCTCTCCACCGCGCACTTGCTCCCAAGCACCGACCACCACCACGCAAGAAAATTAAACCAAATGAATCGGATAAAGAAAAATATTAAACCAAGTATTTAAAGCAACTGTGATATTACCGTTGGTCAATATAAGGTAATATTACCAAATTTATTATATTTTAAAATTATTAAATATATATATATATATATATCTATTTTCAGTTATATTTTATTTTATTTTTATTTTATAATTTACTACTACTATACTTCAGCGGCCGACAGTCCCTCGGTCGTCCAGTACGCCGCCGCGCCTTTCTCCACCACCTCCTTGTTCGCATCCATCTCCGCCGGAGATACTTCCCCACTCCGCCCCCACAGCCGCCGCCGACGCCTTCTCAACCCTAAACGCACTGAATTTCTCCAGCGCAGAATCCAATTTCTCCACCAATCCTTCCTGCCCCTTCGCGGCGACCGTCAATCCGTCTGTTAATTTCGCCGGAACCCTACGAGTGAAGAAGTAGTGCGAAACGTCGAGCTTCACGGCGGCCTCGTCCTTCGCCATTGGCCACTGGATTTCATCCCCGATCCGAACCAGAGCCGCTACGATGGTATCCCCTGCTTCAATTAATTTATATCCAGCCGGAGAATCTCTCACAATCACTTCCTCCGACGACTCACTTCTGGCCATTTCCTCCACTGCCTTTCGTCGCCTCCGTTTCTTCTTCGGCGTCTGGGAACAGATTCTCCGCCAATTCATTCATTTCGATCGTCGGATAGAGCGACGAAGATTGGGAGGGGCTTTTTCTAGGGTTTGACAGAAATGACGAATTCGAATCAGGATTGGTCTGGACGACTCCTGGATACAGAGAATTGGGGGTTTTGGAAGCCACGGTCGATTGAATTGATTGAGGTCTGACTTTTTCCCCTAATTGCAGGATTGTTCGATCGGATGGTGCAATTGATTTTTATTGGGAGAAACTTAGGGAAGAAGGAAATGGTGGGGAGGCATGCGGGTGGATAATGAGCTAATTTCTCAGTTCTTCATCTGTGTGAATTATTTTGGAGCATTGAAAAGGCCTGCTTATATAGATCGAGCAAAATTTTAATTCATGAAATTTTTAGCTCTGTTGGCATTCTTCTCTTGTTTTTCCAAGCTGGACAAAGGCCAATTCTTGGTATTTGAGCAAGTATTTTGCAGCCAGCAAGCCTTTTTTGGGAAATTGGGTGTTTGCATTTTATGATTTGAGCACAGGTACACAACCAAGGGAAGAGAGAGTTTGGCAGAGATTTGTTGAAGGAGGATTACAGGAAGCATATGAAGATGCTAGCAGTATATGGCTTGATCATTCTGATTTGTTTGTATGTGTTTAAATCTATATATCATCCAATTTTAACTTCATGTTTGATTGTATGAGCTTGTTAAAACATTTTCCCAGATTGTCTTACCTATCCATTGAGTTTCTATTTTTTATGCTACACTTATTCACATGCAGACATAATATTTTGGCCTTGCAGGCTTTTGTACTCAAGTATCTTCTCTTTGTCCCGAAAGAGTTGGAGAATACCGGAAAAGTTCCCATACCTAAGAATGAATCTGTTTCTTCAGATACTTTCCCCCTTTTTTCTGAAGGGAAAAGATCTAGGTGATGATTCTTTCAATAGCGTTTTCCTTAAATGCTATTCTGCTTTCTAATTCAGTATTGGTTGCGGAGTAGAACTTATAATATATGTGTACATAGCTCTTGGGTCATGAATGGCTGGTTGATCAATTTGCAAAATTTCTGCTCAAATATGCTTAAAGTTTCCCTCTGGTGTTGCTTTGTAAATTGTATTATTGCATGTTTGACTGAAGGCTGCTGTCTGCAGAACCTAGTGAAATTGGTCTACCAGGTGATAAAAAAGGATTGTTAAATACAGAATCCCACTTTTCATCATAAATTGTACTTTATGTGAGATTTAAGCCCATATATCTTCTTAACTACTAGGCAAGATTGTTTTATTCGTACATGGAAAATTATTGTTCTTCACAGGTCACTCATACATGTTCAGTTAACACAATCATTTGAGCTCTGAAGTTATTTCATTGTTGCTCAAAGTTTCTGCTTTCAAACAGGGCCCTGGTGAGGAGCATGAGTGAGATACTCCGCAAGAAAAGAGCGGGTATAGCATATCTCAATATTCATGACAGCGATAATTACAAGTCTATGGATGCCTCTGAAGATGAGGTGAGCTAGTGATAACATCACTCACATGCTTGAGTTTTTCTCTTCAAGTTGGAGTAATTCATTGCAATGATTTTAGCAATTTTCAGTTTTGAGAACTATATGTTTCTTCCATCATCTTATCCTTGGAATTCGTGTTATATCTGTGATGGTTAGAGACATGCATGTGGCATACTACAGTGATCATTACCCTGCGCTGCCTCTTTAGTAACTCAACTAATCTGCAGGTCATTGCTAAAGCACTAAATGGTCTTTCTGTCGATACTGGGTCAGGATTGTAGACGATTCTGAGAGTTGAGACCTGCACCTCACAGTCAACTGCACTTGAGAAGCTTGAAGCTTTACTTCCTTTTTTCAGAAGCCGCATGGGTGTATTGCTTTTCTTAATATCCGCCTTGTTGTCAAGAGGACTGGTACTCAACTACTTCCATATCCTGCATGAACATTCGATCTGTTGTTAGTTGCTGATGTTGGCTTGCCCTTCCTGATCTATCAATACTGCCTGTTGCATTATCAGGACTATGTACAAGTAAGTGGATAGAGATGATCCAAGCCAACCATTAGTAACTGCTCCATTTGGCCACGCATCACAGGTGTCCCTGGATTATTTATTACAATTCTGTTTACGAACAGTGATTATGGTTTGGTTGATCACTAACATTGTAAACACCCACCCTTGCTTTGTGAAATAGGAAATTGTCAACCTATTACTCTCTGGGAGTGCCGTTGCAAATGTGTTTGACGGGAAAATGGACTTGGGTGGTGGCATGTTTGTAAAGGGCATCTCAACAGCTGTACAAGTCAGAGGCCCTCAATCTGTGTAAGGTTGGCGAGTTACTCAAATGCCCATGATGGCCAATATGGGTGGTTGGAAGCGAGTCACATTACACTGTTTTATTCGCGATGTCCAAGAGGATAGTGAACTTGAAAACAGAGAATTGCAGATCAGGCGAGCATTTGATGCCCGAGATCAAAGTGGCGGTGGCGGTGGCGGTTTCGTCAGTGTTGAAGGCTTCAATCAAGTTGTGAAGGAAATGAACATTAAACTTCCACAGGAGAAGGTTAATTTCCTTAGCAGCACGGGTGTTATAGTGTGGAGTGAATTCTTGCAGGCCCTTGTGGATTTAGACACGAGCTTAGGAGGCATTAAGCATATGGCTGGAGTAAATGGGAGAAAGGTCTTCGATCTCTACCATTTCAACGGGATTGCAAAGCCATCTGGAAACGAGAATCCGATGCAAAGGCCTAGTTAACAAAGCTGACTGTTTCGGCCCCACCAAGGTGGACACCGGAGGAATTCATGGCCGATAAAGCAGAGAACTTGGGAGCACCTACTCCAAGTCAATATGGGCCTCTGGTAGATTGCGTTAGAACACGCTGGCCTCGCTCGGTTTGCAACTGGGAAGGCGAAGTCTAAACCTGTGCTGCTGCTGCTCTCATTCTGCAGGTGTTGGGTTTTGAGGGAAGACATGAGCCTTCTTCTTCTTCTTCTTCTTCTTCTTCTTCTTCTTCTTCTCGGGATAGCAAGAAAGAAAGAGGTGAATTTGTACTGATCATGTGGATATTATACTAGTGTTTCTTCATATGTGAATGCCATGACATTGCCAAAGATTATATACCACTTTTCGTCAGACAATATGGATGTTGCTATTCTTTCTGTTCTATTATTTTGTTTATACATTAGTATTATTTAGTTAATTAATTATTTTGTAAATTCGAAACTGTCCCATCCTTCCTTCCTGCAAGAATCTTCCTTAGAAGAGACCGGAAGCATCCGGAGTAGAGATCCTTGGATTAAAATCTTAAATAAATAGTAACTTATTAATATAAAATTTGAAATAATGAACTTGTTCACTTTGGGTTTATTTATGTCATAGTTTTTCATGTAATTAGATTTGTTTGAATTTTAATGATTATATTAAATATAATGATTAAATTTTGATAGAATGAAAGATAACCGATATAATTATAGTTAAAAACTAAAAGAAATTACTAATTTATATAGTAGTATACTATTATAATTAAAATAAATATAAATAAAAATATATATAATTATGTCTATTTGTGTAATTTTATTTTTTTTTTCTCCCTGCAAAATTAAATTAAATATCTAGTTTTTATTTATTATATTACAGTAAAATTTAATTATACATTTAAAACATCAATACATATTTATATCACATCAACTAATTATTTCAATTCAAAATTTTATTATTCAAATAAAAAACCCACAAAATTATTTTTCTTTTATAATTATGTTTACTTGTGAAATTTTAGTTTTGCTTTTCCTATTTCAATTTTTTTTTTTTCACTTTACAAATCAAATTAAACGCATATTTTTATTTGTTATATTACACTGAAATAAAATTTTAGTGTCAAAACATCGTATAATTATATATTTATATTATATCAAATAATTATGTCAATTCAAAATTTTATTATTTAAAATCAAAACACAAAATCAAAATCTTACCAAAAAAAAAAAAAAAAAAATCTCGCAAATCCGTTTCCCCCAACTCCCCCACATCCACTCCTTTTTATTATTATTATTATTATTTGAAGTGGTGGGCCCCACACAAAAAAAATTGAAAATAAATAAAAATAACACGTGTAACACAGTTTCGCTGGTAAATATTATATATATACGGTTATCTATATATATATATATATATGAGATCAGTACGGGGTCCATTCCATTAAATCATTTTTGTCAATTTTTTTTATTATTTTTGATTTTTAAATAAAATAAAAATGTATTAAATGTCATTAAGTATATCATAATTAATAAAATTATAATTAATATATTTTTAAATATAATAAAATAATTGATTTAATATTATAATTAAAGTAAATTATAATTTTGTCTATTTATACCCCTTATATATATATATAAGAGATCGGTGTGGGGTCTACCCCATCAAATTTTTCTGTCAAATTTTTTGATTTTTTGATATTTTAATAAAATAAATATGTATTAAATATCATTAAGTATATCATAATTAATACATTATTAAATATAATAAAATAATTTATTTAATTTAAGGATTAAAGTAAATTATAATTTTGTCTATTTATACCCTAATTAAGGCTATTGAAAATGTAATGATTTTGGAATGTAATTTTATTTATTTTTATAATTAAAATAATTATATTAATAATCAATAAAATTAAAACCATCATTAATTATATTTTATAATTTTATAGTTTTTTTTATTTTTTAATTCTTAAAAAAATTTAAAATTAATTTAATATTTTCTTAATTTTTATTTATACCCATAAATAATGGATAATGAAATTTTTCATTATAATTGATATTAAATAATTATATTAATTGACATAATTATGATTGATATAATTTATAAAGTTATAATTAATCATGATAATTTAAAAATATATTTTAATTATATGGATCTCATATTAATTTATTGTTTATTTCTATTTTTATTTTTTAATATTAAATACTAATAATATATATACCATAATAAAATACAGAAGAAATTTATAATTAATAGAATAAATATATATAATTTGAGAA